GACACAAACACAAAAGAACCACTAGATTTAAATCAGCACAGCCAGCGAAGGATCGAATGCAACTGTTTTGAACGAGCGCACCTTTTTTTAACAACCAAAAAGTGGCTGTTCCCCCTGTTGAGGAAGTACAGACGTTGCTCTCGTTGATAGCAGAGGAGCGGATCCAGTGAGAGCTTGATGGGGCGATGCGGAATGAAAAAGTTTTTTAGGAGTCGCGTCAGTAGAGGCGGCGCAACTATAATGACATGTGAATAATCCCGCCCACTCTAAAGCGATACTAAACTGCAGTGGAAACGCAAACCGAGCCGAACCGAGCCGTGCCGGACCGTACTGAGCCGTACCGAGCCGAGTCGTACCACGCAGTGGAAAAGCGCCATTAGTGTATTAACAGCGGCATTTAATTTGCAATTTCACTAATGCTGTTTAAAAATAGTTTAATCTCTCTGGTTTAAGTGGGAACCTTGAATAGTAACAATGTGGTTCATTTGATTTCCAGTGAATTATTGCGGTTCAGTTATTGAAATGGTGAAGTTAATACATCCGGTGAATAGGGAATTGTACCTCAGTGTCGCCTGGAAGTTTTTGAAGTTCTCCCAAGTTCTACAATATGCAGGTACGCATGATCACTATGAATGCTTAGCAATGCATTTCTAAATGTAGTCTGCAGATGTTTCAACCTGCTTACACAAATGCATGCATTTGATTATTGATTATGATTTCTGAATGATTAGGGACAGCATTACTGTATATGAAGCAAACATTTAAACTCAAACAGCAGCTCTTAGAAGCTTCACACCATACTCTTCCACACCTCATGGATGTCAGAAAACATCTGAACTTACTTGCTGGTGCTGGTGCTGGTGCCTCAGCTGGTTTGTCTGAAGACAGAAATGTGAGGACAGAATTGTGGTTAGCAAAGATCAACCTGAAAGTGATGGCAAAACATGGGCTCTGTTCCAAAACCTGTCTTACTGCCTTATTAGGCAGCATTGTAACTGAAATAGAACCTCAAAAGTGACTGATTTGACTACAGCTAGCCATATTTTACCATGTTAATACTTTCTAACTGAATAATTGTTTGTTTGTTTGTTTGTTTGTTTGTTTGTTTTTACAATGAACAGATTCATGCTGATTCTAAGCAATTTGAATAAATGCATTTTGAAAATATAATTATTAAATCAAATATGCAAATAGTTAATAATAAACTATGCCATGGTTTTTAGTGCAGCTATTTTTACAGTTCCTCACCCTTTTCATATATGTATGACTGACAAATATGCTTTTTTTTATGTTTAGGTATTATGTATTAGTTAAATGTGCAATCCAAATAGGTGGAAATTTTATATGCAATTCAAATACATAAATCTTAAATTTAGGCCTAAATATTTTGTGTTGTTATTGTAAATATAACACTCATTTTCAGTAAATATTTACTCACCCCTATGTTGTGAAATAAAGGAATATATAATATAATATAATATCACTAAAAGTTTATTCTTTTGAGTCTGACTGAAATAAAATAGCTGATCCAGTTCACAAAACCAATTTCCAATTCTTGAATTCAACTCAGATGACACGAGGATGAAAAAATAATTTTAAAATGATTTTTTTTATTATTTTTTTATTTTTTTTGGTCAACTTATCTCTTTGAAATGCTGTCTACATAGTCAGCACACTAGTTTTTAAAACAGAGCCATAGACTTCATACCTTGGGGTTCCTTAGCTGTTTTCTTCTCATCTGGAACAGGTGTTCCTGGAGGTGAAGGAAAATAGTGCTTGTCGTATTTTCTTTCAATCTCCTGTGCCTTTACATTTACACAATATGTGAATGTGACACCTTCATAATTGCGCTTCATGTATGCATGCTAAGCCTTTTAATCAAGTTTAAAATCAGAGTTATTTCTATTCTTTAGGTGTCAGGAACACATGCTCAGTTATGTGATTACATAGTCATGGAACAGAACATGAAAGGTGCACTTCCTGTCATAAAAATAGAGAAATTCTGTCATGACTTCATCTGAAATTATATAACTTGACAGATCCAATTTTCTTGTGCCAACTGAAGTCTAGCGAGATTTTATTATTAATTTTTTTGCTGACTTGATCCACCGTACAATCGTCTATGCAGTAAGTTTTCTCTCTTTTTTGGGGATATTCAAAGATACAGAGATGTCTATCAGGCTTTTATAATGCAATCTTAAAATAATCATTAAAACTTACCCGCAACTTCTTTAATGGTTTGATTGGCTTTCGGTGTTGGTGCAGCCTTCTTCTTGACTAATGATCAAACATAATCAAAGATATTACACTGATGGTACAGTATACAGTATACAATACAGCACAGTATACAATATATTTAAAAAAATCACTATTTTATCACTTTTACTTTTAGTCATGCTTGTCAATTACTATAAACAAGAATTGCTAACTCTTGCAGTATTTGATCTGTTAGCCCTTTACAGGATGTCAATGAGTTAAAAAGCGCATAAATATTGTGCACTGGTTTCCTGTCAAGAAGTCACGAAGTATTGCATGCAATAATTCTAAACAGTCCATTAGCAATCTAAAACGCAGTGACCTATCGCTCAAGATGGACAAAATCATTAATCAAATGTAGTTGTTGTTTGGAGGATTACTGATTGAAATATTCACTAGAACAAACTGTCTTCACATTCAGAGCAAGATTGCAATGCTTATTATTACTAATTTTATTATAAACCATTTTATCAATAACGAGAGAGATTTTAAATATATAACCAATATATTTTTAATTACATGTTGACATTTTCTGAAGAAAAGTGTGGTGTTCGTCTGTTAGTCTCCCACATTGTTTCTATGACATTGTATGATAAGGCTTATTTGTTTGTTTGTTTGTTTTTATTTATTTATTTATTTCATTTTAACATTTATGAGAAAAACGTTGAGGCCAGGTCATAATACATCTAAGCAGCACTAATGCTGTTGGATGAGTTCAGTAGTTCCCTTTCAGTCAGTCACGTTCGACGTTACGTCAGTCGTGACTGACGAATTGGGATCTCGCCCGAGAGCCCAATCGCCTTCGACGTGCGTTGTTTTGAAAAACAGCTGGCGTTGGTGTTACGGCGTGTCAGCGGGGGTTGCCATCCAGGCTGCTGAAACCTTGGCGAGCTGCAGCTTTCATTCTGCGGTCCCGCTGCGGCCTCCCCTGTGCGCTTCAGTGCTCTCTCTAAAAGAGTGTTTTTCCTTTCTAAAAGAGCAAATTCTAAAAGAGCTCCACGAGCGACGGGCGTCTTTTTAAAGATGGCTTCCCGCTCGTGCGTTTCTGGATGTGGTCGTTTCCTGGCTTCATCTGACGGTCACGATCGCTGTGTCTCGTGCTTGGGCTTTCAGCACGCTGAAGCAGCGCTCGTGGATGAGTCATGTTCTCAGTGCGGGAACATGACCATCGCGATGTTGCGGT